TTCTAATGTTTAGCTTATACCTTATTATCGATCTTCTCCATTTGCTTTTAGATCATCGGCTGTGTACGCCCCGAATTCGCCATTCAAAGCACTACGTATGGAGCAATGCTGGCAATTCTGGTGCGTGTCTTGTGAATTTTTTAGTTTTCCACTAGTACTACAGTTTCACCGCTCCCTACAAAGAAAACGTAAGTGTGTTTTTTGGCACTCAAGGTTAGTCAGTAATAGTCTGTTTGCCCAAGGGGAGAAACCACGAGAACATGCCGTCGCACAGTTGTCTAGTTGATTCTCGGTAATGTTAGAATATCATTTCCAACCAGAAATCTTTCTTCCAGTCATCCTTGGAGGGAGGATGGGCAAAATGCAGAACATTAATGAGGCAGAGAAGTTTATGAATCTGTATATTGTGACCAGAGCTCGTCATCCGTTCTCTTTTCCGGTGAGGAGGTCATACCCGGTTGCAGGAGGGAGAAGGGGACTGTATTTTGCCTGAGAGGAAGGATTAAATTAATTTTTTTTTCCCGCACGCTTTCCACAACATCGGGAGATCCCGGTGGGGGGGGGGGCGGTCTGCAATGCCAGCATGACCTTCCTGTAGAAATATCTGCTTAACGAACTATTTTGTTGAAATTTTTCAGGAACACCAAGACCTCCCATGGAAAGTTACTAGTTTTCCATTTTTTTCCCACTTTTTCATGTCCTTTTTCAGGGTGATCCGGAAGACGTTCCTGCCACACATCCAAAGAAAATGGTGGAAGAAGTCACCCAAGCCTTAGTGGTAGGCTGGAGAGTTTTGCCTCCAATTCTGACATCGGCGCACACGAAACTCCTGCAAGTAAGAATCTTCCTCGTTTTTGTTTTCTTCCTACTCTTACCTTTTACATCCCTACCAATTTCACCGATTCAGCAAATGACGATGATTCGTGAAGTGGGAGATGTACTCGATCTGAAACGTGCACTTGATGCTGGAAATCAGAATTGCGGTGCTGTCATGCAAGAGATGAAAACGGTCATTAAAATATGGAGGTTTGTTTAGGTCTAGGGAACTCCTTGTTACTGTTCAAGATTTTTTTCCTAAAAAATCATTGTGTAGATCACGTACCTATTCGCTATCCGATGACATGTCGTTTATCTCGTTGATGTATGATTGGCGAAGTCAAATTCACACCATGATGGTGCAACAATTCCACGAGTGGGAACGTAGTGGGGTCAGTAAGTCGTTGTTTCACTTCATTGCAGCCCAACAATCCAAACAATCTCTCAGTATTCTCCTTGCCAGGGGAATTCTGAAAGATCGTTTGCCCTGTTAGGAGGTATAGGAACGCATCTCCGAAGCGGCTGAATTCAGGAGTACAGGCATGAACTGCGAAACTGAACTTAATTTTTCCTGAACGGCTGTAAATTGCCAAAGCCTCAGTTTCGCTGCCCATGTCTGTGCTCCTGCATCTTGAACAAGCTTGCCCTGAGAGTGCTTCAAATCCTGAATGACCTCCTTTGTTACTGTAGATATTGCAGATAGTGATGCCTCCGGGCATGAATCCACAGTCGATTCTCCCGATTCACTCGGCAGCTACAGGACAGCTGTTCTTGGCAAGAGCAGCACGAGAAAGGGGAATGGATCAAGTGGCGATCAGAACTCTGAATAAGTACGATTTCGAGTTCACCGTATCTTTTGAAATCTTCGATAAGGATTTCAGGCTACATACACTGATTACACTTCCAATGATGGATTGTCATCAAAAGATCATTGATCACTTGAAAACACTGCGAAGAATGGCCAAGAAACATACGACCACTGCACAGCAGAAAATGGATCTTCTCCAGGAAGTATGAACTTCCACTTTATTTCTTTCGAGCGAATTATTCGAATAGATCTGTCACCTTAGGCTCTACTGATGACTGAAGCTGCTCGTATCGAAGACTTCTCTCGTGATCAATGCTGTCGTCTTTTCTATCAAAAGGGCTCCATTCTCAGCCAGCTGGACAAGTATGCCACCAAAATTTCGTGTTTTTTCATCTTGTTGGATGGTGCTTACACGCTGTGGAATTGCTACATACTTTCGTCATCTGGCGCATCGCTTGTATTAACACGTTGACGACGATGGCAGACAATGGTGGCTGACAGCCAGTCTGTCTCGTGGGACGATGGCAGACAATGGTGTCTGCCACTATATTGTTCTAATAATAAAGATGTACGAACAGCCAAGTTCGCTGGAAACTTATCCCTAGGGGTAGCTTGTCCCTCTGAAACGAATACCACAGTCGCTTGGCACGAACTGCCTGGCGCCGGCGCCAAAATACCATAAATCACCAAATTCGCTGAAAACTTGTCTCCTGGGGCAGCTTGACCCCGTGAACACGAATATCACAATCGCTTGCCACGAAACTGCCTGGCGCCACAGGCGCCGGCGCCAAAATGTCCTAGGTCATCAAATTCGCTGAAAACATGTCTCTTAGGCTAGTTCGACCCCCTGAACAAGAATATCATATCCACTTAACGGGTTGAGGACGATTTCCGTCAATGCTGGACGACAGCCAGTTTGTTTTGTGGGACGGCGTCACCGAATTGTATCCGACAGTTATTATACAACTCAAAATCCGAGATTGTTTCATTTTCTTTTCAAAAAATTAGCCTATAGACAAACATTTTCAGGCCAAGGGAATGTGATATTAATCTTTACGAGGCCAAACTACCTCGAAAACAAATTTCCAGTCAAATCTACCTTCAGAAGCGCAATAAAAGCTAAATTGTGTCAAAGATTCGAGATTCGTATACTCGTCTCTTGCATTTCTTGATACACTTTGATCGTAGTCATTCATTTATTTGGAAATTACTAAGTTTCAACGGAGAAAAATGTGCCGTCCCACGCGCAAGTCATGGGAAAAATGGCTCGTCGTCAACGTGTTAAGGCGCTATAATCAGCGGTCACAAGCTGAATTGAGCCGAAACACCTAACAGGGAAGAATAACCGCAACACCCAACAAGGAAGATCATCGCGTAAAGAGACTACGGGTAAGAACCCCACTGTCTAGAACATCTGAAGAAGGTGTACCATGTACATGACATGTGGATGCGTTCATACTTTGCGGCAGCGTCCACCAGCGACCACTAGCGTTCCGAGCGTTCGGCAGCGTCAGCGACTAGGAAAGTATAGATATCGATCTAGCGTCTGCCAGCGTCTACCAGCGTCCACCAGCGTTCACCAGCGACCGGGAGTAGAGAGTATGGGGAAGCAGGAGGGTAGCAAACAGCTGGATTAGGCGTTGTGAAATTACATCCTACTCCCGGATTCGCTGTCCCGTGAACGCTGGTCGACGCTGGTAGGGACGTGGGTTAGACTCGATGCCTTAGACTCCTAGACCGCATCCGGACCTTCAGAATAGCGCTAGTGGTCGTGCTGCTGGGCGGATGTTAGTAGAGCCCTACTGCGACGCTGCCGCAGCTCCATAACGCCAGCCTAGGGGCATCTCACAGGGCTGTTTCAGATAAGAGGCTGTACCGCCACACTTCACACAGAATATTATTCATCGCCTCATGAAAGATCATAAAGATTCGGAAGGTGCGTAGGCCCGAAGGATGCCATGCGAAGTGTGTCGAACGTCATCTGTGAGAGCGAGTTTATTGTTGACGTATTTATCTCTTCTGCCAGTAGAAAGGAGTTGATCAAGGAAAAATTATGCATTTGTACAAGCGCAGAAAGTGTGACGCTGTAAAACAGTCAGAAAGATATTGCACAACACGCATTAGTTTGTGAGCTGAGAGGGTGAATTGTGTAGTGACGCGAAACAGATTTGCGGTGCTTGTCCGACAAACGAAATCCGTGCTCGAGTCATTAACGCTCGGGCTGTCTAGTCTCTTATCCTGGAATTTCAAATCTTACATACATTCCTGTCGAACTGCGACGTTAAACCTCAGTTATTTATTTATCTTATTTCAATGGAAGAACACAGCGATGAACACTAATAAAAAAAGAAAAAAAACATGGGAACAACACAATAACATTGAATAAGCGAAAAATTAGGATTAAGAAATAGAAGAAAGAAGAGAAGAAATCTAGGAAAAGCATATAGGCTGTGTTTCGAAGCGAATCAAAGAAATCACCGGGACCTTCCTTGTGTGTACTGGAAGGCTGTTTTCCCCTTCAGGCAGATGAAAGAGTCCCCCGCGAGATCCTGGTCCTTGGTTCTGAACGCAAGGATTTCAGACGAACAGTACTGGGGCTTGCTGACAACTTTTATTTCTCTGCATATGAGCCAGAATTTTACTAAAACAACTTCGAAGAGGGCTTCAACAGAGGTTCTGAAATCTTATCGCAATCTAGACTAGTGTGCAAGAAACCTTGAACAAGTATTTCTGCTTATTTCCAACCGAGATGACATACGTATAACCTGTTCGACTGCACTGACTTGAACGTTTACGAATACGACTTTGATTCTACCCTCTTCAGAAATGATGATGCCATGCATGCGTTCTCTGCTGCGGCTACCATGGTTGATCCAACCAGCTCTCCACAACTGAACACGGCTTGCAGTATGTTCAAGAATTGGGCGCATCATCTGGATAATTTATTCTTCAGTGAAAAGTGAGTGATTCCATATTGGAACTAACTATTCCAACACCGACATTGACCTAGTTTTAGACACGAGGCGTCTGCGTTATCTCGTGGCTTACCGGCAATCAACTGCTACATCGAAGCGGCTAGAGTAGAAAATGAGACGAGGGCGCGTAAATATATCGCCAGGTATGACATCTCTTTCGTTAGCCAAAACTGAAGTACCAAAGTGGGGAAGTGGTAATAAGCTCGGAATAATGATCGCATTAGAACGTTGTGTTCCTGAGACTTTTCTTGTGGATAAATTATCTATGAATGCTCCGGAACAATACTTGTGAAATGCGTTGCGTTTCTCATTAGAGCGAGGAATCTTGAAAGCATTAGAGAATTTTTTGACTTCATCGTGAAACTGTGACAATGTGACATCCCCATGACACCGCAGCAGGAAAGGTTACTCGGAAATCGAAGCAGTATTGAGGATGGGGAATATGTCTTGTGAAGTCTGTAGCTGGACAGTTTTTTGTAAGAGTGGTAGTTGAATCGAAAGGGGTCGTTGCCGAGGCAGCTGTTGAGGAAGAGGGAAGGAGTGACCTAACTTTCTTCTTCACGTTGTGTGCCTGGACCTTATCACAGCTCTAGTGTCCTTCGAGAGCGACGTATAAACTCGAAAATTCTTGTAGTAATAAACTTCGAATGAGATCTTCTGGAGATTTATGAGAAATCTTCATTATGTTGAAAAGACGACTAATAAATGTCATGAACTCCTTACGAGGAATCTTCTCAAAGAAACTGTGCACGCACCTCCGAGGACGTTTTCGCCATATGCAAGGTAAATGGGTACGTAGTTGCCAGTGTCGTGCTCTGCCGCACTCAAACGGCGCAGTTTGCCGACGGGGGGCATTTTGCACTTTCGTTGCTTCACTAGTTCTGGTTTACAAGTCTCACTCTGGTGAAACCTGTGAACTCTTGTGAAGCTGGAGCAATGGTAAAACCTGTCAACTCGAGAAGAGGCTGTCTAGATGGGTCGACACGTCGATTGGAAGCCGTTAAAGTGCAAAATGCCCTCTCCCCGTCCCGTCGCCAAACAGCGCCCACTCAAACTATAATGAACAAGCAGACGTGAGAGTGCGCAGACAAGTAACGCGTTTTGCTATGGTTATGCGTGTAGCTGGCCTAGCGTCTGCGCTAGCGGATAAT